AGCACCCGCTGCATTTTGTTCAATCCCCACTGCTTGTTGTTCAGATATTTCTAGTGTTCTGCCATGATCAAGCAAAGCCTTTAGTGTCAAGTCTGGTTCTCTGAGTGCTTTTCTACGCAGCCTGGATGAAGTACAGCTTTGTATCAACTGTGCCTTTATCTCACAGTCAACATCGGCAAACTCACAGTCTTTTGCAAGCATTCTGAATCTAGTTTGATACGCATCTAGTTTTTCTCCAGGTTGCTGCACAGCCTTTCTGAATTGATAGACAAGGTACTGCGTATTCTTTTTAGGAGAAAAATAGCCATTTAGTTTTGTTTTTGTTTCTGCATAGCCATCTTCGTCTGCTGCAAACGTGTCATAGATGTCATGCACGCGTTCACCAGCGAGGTGCAGGAACAGCGCTTTCTGTCTAGCATCGCCAGTAATGTTCATAGCAACAAGAACGTTTTCAAAACGTTGTATCCATTTATTCCATCGAGTTCCTACCGAGCTGGGGTCCGTTTCTGTGTCAAACGGATGGGTGCATGATTCATCACTGATTGCATGGCTATGGCTTTTTATGTCAGCTGTGTGCACTCACTCACGCACAGGCAGGCTTTCATCAAACGCTTGAAACACGTGCTGAGATCGCATTTATATCCTCGTCGCCATTGTAGTGTTTCTCGACGTCATGACATCTTTCACATACATGTTGTAGAGACGATAGCAGACAGGAATACTGGAACACTAACAAACTTTTATTTTTGCCGCATTACTTGTGGTTGCATACTATCATATGCCCTACATGGGAGGGGCGTCGCGTCCTGTGTCGTCACAGGTCAAACCAAATACATTACAGGAATCATAAAGTAATCAAACTAAACAAGAACAGGAAAAGGACCATAAAAGGAAACACAGGAAGAACTACGGAGACAAAATGGGTCCAAAAGTCTGACATTTTTTGCCCCCTCCCGGAAGGTGCGTCCTCGCACCGTAGATACAACAGAGGGAAGGATGGGTGTGAACTTGGGAGGAGGCTCAGGAGGAGGACGGACACCCGGGAGGGGGCCGGCAGACAGAGACCATGGGGGTGACTAAGGAGAGAGGAGCCAGGGAGGAGACAGGAGGGGCATGGAGCAGGAAGAGCCAAGCTGGACCCAGGCCACAGCCATTACGATGACCCATGGTGGAGCCTCCGGGCTCTCAGGGCTGCCCTCGGGGATCAGAGCCCACTCCTGGCTGGACTGGGAAACGGGAGCCCCCTCAGGGCTGGACGGGACCAGCGGGTTGACAAAGGAGAGAGGAGAGGGGGCAAGTTGACCTCATTGATCGCGGCGGTAATGGGCTCTCTGTCATCGGTGGGCTCGGGCTGATGCTCCGTACCGCAGGGAGATGGTGGGCTGGGCTCTGGGTCAGGAGTGGATCTGGCGAGATCATCCTCGGGAGAGACAGTGAGAGGCGATCCGTTTCTCGCCAGAATCCACTCCACAAATGCGGGGAAATCCTCTCGAGGACCATCTTCGGATGACGGCGCTCTGCTCACAGTGTTCCGCGTCGTCCGGGTAGCTGGTGGTGCTAGCTAACAGCCGGAACAGTTTTGTATGGTCCTCGAAAGATCTGTCCCCCTGCTCCAGCAGGAGGAGGAGGAATTCTGGACGGGTGAAAGGATCCATAAGGGGAAACACAATGGAAACAAAAACACTGAGAGAAAAAACAGAAACAAAAATGGCGGGTAGACACACGGAGTTATCTGTATTCGGTCGGGTCTTCTGTCACAATCCGCTGGAGCACGGGCACGAGGAAACGAGGAGACGTGGAGACTTCACAGAACGAGAGTTTTTTAACACAGGGCAATCAGGGGAACACAGGTGCATGGAATCATAAAGTAATCAAACTAAACAAGAACAGGAAAAAGACCATAAAAGGAAACACAGGAAGAACTACGGCGAGGCAAAACGGGTCCAAAAGTTTGACAAAACGTTTCTGTTGCAGGAAAAAATATATATATTGTAAGGCAAGAGACAGCAGTTTAATTGAAATAAAATAAAATATAAATATTAAACTTGGCAGCTAACTGAAGTAAATGCAGTAAGTTGAAGCTGAATAATTAAAAGTACTAAAATCAAAACTGTAATACAAATAAATCAAAACTATATAAAATTATTAAAAAACAATAAAATTGCTAAAAAATTTACTAAAATTAAAACTGGAAACATAAAAATAAAAGTTAATTAATGTTAATAAATACTATGGTAACATAATAAGGCCCCATTACTTAATGCATTAATTAACAATGAGCAGTGCATTTGTTACAGTATTTATTAATCTTTAACTAACAATAAACAACTGTTTGTTTTAGTTCATGTTAACTCAGGTCCGTTAAATAATATTAACAGATGCAACATTTGATTTTAATAATCTTTTAGTAAATGTTGTAATTACATTAACTAAGATTAATAGTTTCGGTCCCACTTTATATTAAGTGGCCTTAACTACTATGTACTTACATCAAAACACAATAACACAATAAGTGCATTGTACCAAATTATTAATTTAAATGTAAGTACATAGTAGTTAAGGCCACTTAATATAAAGTGGGACCATAGTTTCTTTATAAGTTAACTAATGAAGTTAACTAATGTTAACATATGGAACCTTATTGTAAAGTGTTAGCAATACGATAATAGTATACAAATAAAATCAAATCTCAGTACATTTATTTCCTATAGTAGCGAATGGGTTTTCAAATTAATTTTAAGGTAACGAATTTGGCTAGATACTAAAGCTAACCAGTACTTAAGAAATTAGTTTGTTGTTGTGTTTTTTTTTTTGTATTATTGAGATACTATTATATATTTTATTTCTATTTTAATTAGTTTGTTGTTTGTTGTATACAATTTTGCTGCAGTTTCGTGAGATGGTAGCAAAACTGGTGTTCTGACTTGTTACTTGTACTAAAAGTGTATTTTAAAATGTATTCAGTAGAAGTGGCATGCAGTTCCTATATATCTAAATAAGCACATTGTTATGTTTCTATGTGTTTGTATGTTCAGCTGCATCGCTGCTGTGTATCCGTGCGGATGAGCTCCAGGAAGCGCTGACCTCTCACTGTGTGGTCACACGGGGCGAAACCATCGTCAGGTCAAACACAGTGGAGAAGGCCATTGAGGTACGGGACGCCATGGGCAAAGCTATCTACGGACGCCTGTTCAGCTGGATCGTCAACCGCATCAACTCTCTCCTGAAACCAGACAGCCAGTCAGGGTAAGAGAGAAGAGAGTCTTCTCAAACTGTGCTCAGATTTGTCAATATTTCAACAGTTGCAATCAAAAGTCTCAATATGAACATTGTGCATCAAATTCTTTCAAGACCACCATCCAAGAGAGATGCAACTTTAGAACATATCCTAATTTACCAGAAACTAGAAAGAAATGGTTCCATCCAATGTGTTGATGTGTGAATGACAATCATTTTTTAAAATCCCATATAACATTTTTCTTAATTCTATCCTTGAATTTCTCTCCAGGGAGGAAGACAAAGGTCTGAACATTGGTATTCTGGACATCTTTGGCTTTGAAAACTTTAAGAGGAACTCTTTTGAGCAGCTCTGCATCAACATCGCCAATGAGCAGATCCAGTTCTACTTCAACCAGCACGTCTTCGCCTGGGAACAGGTACATCCTGCCTCTGATAAAGTCATTCTATCCAATCTTCAATGGTTTGGGAGCTGTTCTATGCCTTTTGGGAGCATTTTTATTTTTCTTCTTCAGCACAATCTTATTTCCATCTAAATGGTGGTAACACTTCATCATTTATTGTATTACAGTGTTGTGAGAAATGGAGGGAAGGGGATTCGAATATTCAGTTTTCGCAGACAAGCATGGCAATTCCCCAGACTGACGGGGCTAACTGTAGCCTTGAGGGGGAAAGTGATTTAGTGCCTCTAAACGTTTGCGACTAACCCACATTAGTGCCTTCATAAATCATCTGAAACAAGGGTTACGTCAGTTTGCTAGGCAGTTGCTAGGGTGTGCTAGGGCGTTGCTATTTGGCAGCTAGGCGTTAATATAATAATAATAATAAAAGTATAGTGCTTTGCAATGGCAAGCACCACTCACACTTATTATTATTATTATTATTTTGTATTAATTCATTAATTAATTAATTTTATTTTTAATTTTTTTCTAAGTGACGATTCTCATAAATTCCCAAAGATTCCTATTAGTTTAATACAGTATTACATTAACTATTAATATTGTCACATGTCATTCAGTTTGGACTTTGTTTTCCTCTTGCACCATTCCCCTGCATTGTGTTAACTGTGTCATTCTGCTCAGGGGCCCGTTCTTCGTACGTCGCTAACTCAGTTAGCTGGATTTGATTGGTGACGATTTGGCATGATCTTGGATTATGAATGTGTGAATGTGAAGTGAAGTGTGGCCAAGTATGATGACCCATACTCAGAATTTGTGCTCTGCATTTAACCCATCCAAGTGCACACACACACACCGTGAACACACACCCGGAGCAGTGGGCCATATTGCTGCGGCGCCCGGAGAGCAGTTGGGGGTCTGGTGCCTTGCTCAAGGGTCTCACCTCAGTCGTGGTATTGAGGGTATAAGAGAGCACTGGTCATTCACTCCCCCCACCCAATGTCCGTCCTGAGCGCTCTCTCATCCCCATCATGAGTAGACACGCCCCTTACTGCCGATTGGCTACAAGTTTGTTTTGGTACTCGGCCCGACCCACCTTTAATTATCCTTGTTTGGTCTGTGAATTCAAGTTCCTGTGCTGTGATCAGCAGCAGCTGGATGCAATAATCGCATGCCAATGTGCATTGGCTCGTTTAGTTTACACTCGAAGTAGATTGGTCCCTCTAAGCGAGATCCCAATTCGTCGGTCATCCGACGTGACGTCTCTGTTCCCTCCTTCAGGGAACGAGGATTACATACGTAACCGAGACGTTTTAGTCTGTCCGGTCTCGTCTGCTGCCTGTGTGATGGAATACCTGTTTGTTGGATTGCCTGTGTGTTGGATTAAAGACTGTTGGAAACCTTCTTCTTCATCTTTGTGCGTTTAATACAGCGTAGCTGTGACAAATACAATTATTCGGTTTTTTTTGTTTTTTTTTAAATCAGAATAAATTAAAAGGTAGTAAAACATACCACTATAAAATATAAACACTTTATCTAAATGTAAGTATAAACAAACAAACAAATAAATAAATACATTCAGAAATGATAAAGATTATTTATTTGTTTATTTACTTTATACTAATGAGATTTTGGGAGAAAATGTGCTTAATTTTTTTTATAATCTTTACTGTATACAGTAAAAACTTTGTCATATTATTATTTAACATTGTTTAAATAATATACATAGTAATGAGATTTAGATTTTTATTACACTAATTAGAGTACAGTTTCTTCTTCTTCTTCTTCTTCTTCTTCTTCTTCTTAATAATAATAATAATAATAATAATAATAATAATTTTGGAGTGGAATTTGACCCAGACATTGAGCTTTACCTGTAAAATTTATTCATAACCTATTTGTTGATTTGTGTTCTCCATATTATTATTTCTACTTGAAGCACTCAGGAGTATGGAGTATGGAGCCTGAAGTAAACATTGAAGAGTGTGTTTTCTGTGTTTTCTTTTTTTTTTTGCCTGTGTTACTTCAAATCTGATGTTTTTGCATCCCTGAGGCTTGTATGTCAACAGCAGTCTTACTGTCCCTAAAAATGAGGTTGTTCCCTGTTCGCAGGATGACTTTACCCGCGGCTAAAAGCTCAAATCTACACCAGAGATTGGATTTCTCGGACAAGCTTCTGTATGTGTGTTGATGCATTTCACCAGTGAATAATTTAGGTCCATGTGTGTATTGTAATTTATCAACATGGCAGTCTAGAGACAAGACAGACATTACATTTGTGCTTTGGGTTGAGTGCTCTGCTCACATGAAGTCATTGTGTAGCAGCAGGAATTGTCTGACACACTGTGCTCAGATTTAGGAGGTTACGGAGCTCCAGGCATCAGCTAGCAGAAGTCAGCAGTGTTGTTGGGAGCTTACAAATATGTGTGGATAGATGAACAGAATTACTTTCCCCAAGGAGAAATTCAGATGCAAAACAATAGCAGCATCGAGCATAAAGGTCACAGAAAACATCACATTCAGAGACATAGTGTAATCAAACTAGACATTTCAAAATATGAATGCATTGTCCTGATAATAAGGAGTTTTCTTTTGACATTTCATGTAGAATTAGTCTCGCATGACCAGAATTTGGACTATCAGAATCAAACCTTGTCCATTGGAGCTTATTCTGGCCAAAAAACGCCCAGTTAGACAGGAAGAGACTAAATAATTGACGTGGATAGTGACCAATTGCAGTTTAATTAAATTTTTTTTTTCATTCTGTTTTGGGAGCAAGAAATGAAAGAAACAGCAGTGTCGGTCTGCATGGACCAAATGAAGAAATGTTCTGCAAATTGTCATTTTTACTAACTAAATACTGATAGTTTTACATCTACACTAATGTTCAAAAGTTTGGGGCCAGTATGATTTTTTTTCCAGGTTTTTAAAAGAAGTCCCTTTCACTCACCCAGGCTGCATTTATTTTGTATAAAATACAGTAAAAACAGTACTATTATTAAATAGTGTTACAATTCAAAATAACTGTTTTCTATTTGAATATATTTTAAGATGTAATTTATTCCTGTGATAGCAAAACTGATTCATGTGGATAGTGACCAGTTGCAGTTTATTTATATTTTTTCATTCAGTTTTGGGAGCAAGAAATTAAAGAAACAGCAGTCGGTTTCAGCATCATTACTCCAGTCTTCAGTGTCACACGATCCTTCGGAAATCATTTTAATGTGCTGATTTGCTGCTCAAGAAACATTTCTTCTTACTATTTTATTTTATTTATTAATTTATTTTTAGGAATCTTTGATGAAAAGAAAGTTCAAAGAAACTTCCACGACATTCTAATTTATTGAGATGCACCTGTATATATAAATCATTTGCAATGTTATAAAAGTATTTACTGACACTTTTGGTGACTTTATTTGCATCCTTGCTGAATAAAAAGCATTAATTCTTAAAAAAAAAAAATAACCTCAAACTTTTGAATGGTAGTTGTATAAATCGTTCAGAGATTTGATTCCAAAAACCTCATGAAAGTTCATCACATCATTTGGTTTCTCTGCAGGATGAGTATCTGAACGAAGACGTGGACGCTCGAGTGATTGAATATGAAGACAACCGGCCGCTGCTGGACCTGTTCCTTCAGAAGCCCATGGGCATGTTAGCACTACTGGACGAGGAGAGTCGCTTTCCTCAGGCTACTGACCAGACCCTCGTCGGCAAGTTCCTCTCAACATCTGACCTTCTCCCTGAAACATCATAGAGCTTTTAGCTTTAGTATTGTTCACCTGGTGTCTTATGACCAGGGATACTTACACTGTCTCTCTCTCACACACACACACACACACACACATGCACACAGACATACACTCAGACCCACAAGAACAAGGGGGAGGCTGTCATCAAACATTTACTGGCATGCTACGTTTTCATCTGCTTTCTCTAGAGGACGCTCTCAATGAAGTCTTTGACTGACAGCTGAATAATTCAACATGCCAAGACTAGACGCCTAGCTGTTTTTCCATGACTTAGCTTTATTGCTTTATACTGAATGAAACGGATAGATGGATTCATTCATGTGTATCTCATGTTATCACGAATGGATGAATGAATTAATGAGGGTTGGGTCAGTGAACGAACAAATGTATGAACAAATGAGCAAATGTATGAATGACACAGATGATGAATGGTTAAATGTACAAACTAAGTAAATTATTGAATGAATGAACTTGTGAATAGACGGGTGTGCGAATGAATTCATTGTAATTAACAAGCAGTTGTCTTTTGTTCATTCAGAGAAATTTGAGGTCAACTTAAAATCCAAAAACTTCTGGAGACCAAAGAGGGTTGATCTGGGCTTTGGAATCCATCACTACGCAGGCAAGGTAGAAATATTTTATCAATATTTATTTATGCATCTTTTTCAAACATACTACAGAAACAAAGATATGAAAGAGAATGAAAGGGATTGTTTACACAAAAAAGGAAAATTCTGACATCATTCACACACATAAAGGATCCAAACAGAGTTTTCACAGCAACGCCATTGAAGAACCATTTTGGGTTCCCCAAAGAACATTCTATTGAACTGTTCTTAAAAGAATGATTTTTTGTATAACTGTGAAGAACTTTTTAATAATCTGAAGAACCTTTTTCCACTATAAAGAAATTTTTTGTGCAATGGAAAGGTTCTATGGATGTTTACTTTGACTTACTTTCTTCTTTCTTCTCAAAAATGTAATATTTTAAACAATGTTGGTAACCAAGAAGTTTTTTTGTCCATTGTATAGAAGAAAAAAATCATTTCTCATAATATCCATTCTTTTGTATGTGAGGGTGAGTGAATGATGACAGAATTTTTATTTTTGGTTCAACTAACCCTTTAAACCAAGTTCATCTGTGAGAATAATAGTCTATTAGATGCAAATACATCTTGTTTCTCGTGTGGTTAGGTGATCTATAATGCCAGTGGTTTTCTGGCTAAGAACAGAGATGCTCTGCCCGCTGATATTGTTCTTCTGCTGAGGTCTTCAGAGAATGAACTGATCCGTAAACTGGTTACTCACCCGCTCACTAAAACAGGTTTGCTTTAACTTTTTACGCTGTACAAATATTTAACGCCTTTGGTTTATCTACCATTTTAGATGCTTCAGTTTCTGTCCATTTGTATTGCTGAGGAACCCACAAATCTACACACATTCATCCAGACATGCACTTATAAAGCTTTAGGTCTGTGTCTCATTAGCCCTCTCTGTATGAGACAGATTTTCTAAACAGTGACCTCTAACAATGTGTCGGTCAACCCAATCACTGTGTAATTACCTCAATCAATTACACATTTTTGCCATTGTGCTGCCAAAAAAAAAAAACATTTTGAAGAACATTTTGTTGCTTTGAGTAGATCCACCAGTTTCCACGACTTTAGTTGTGGACAGCAGAGTCCTGCAGTGTGATTACTTTTCATTGGCAAAGCAAGAAACAAACAAAAAGTCCTGAAACACATGGACCCGTAGATTAGGATAGGCGATACATCTGTCGATATTTATTGGAAAAAATAAATCTACAATATTGAAAATAAACTTTTGAGTCTGTATATATACATGTCATTTAATAAAAGCTATCATCAAATACAAACTTAAACTCAAAGGTCTTTATAACAAACCTCCAAAATAACAAAGTTTGCTTAAACTTGAAGTTACTTATTGATCATTCAAATTATGATAGAAATACATTGCTGTTGACTAATGTGTCAAACTTACTTCTTAAAAGTAGCAATATAATACAATATAATATAATAATTAATAAAACGGTTAGTTCTAGTCCTTTATTCTGATTGGTCAACAGCTGTATTTTATTCACAATAAAGCAGGCTATGACTGCTTCACTCAACAGTTCTGTGTATCACTGCGCAACAACCCTTAGCAACCATGTATTATGTATTTCACTCCCCTTCCCCAGTTAAAGAAACTCTTCTCATATGGGAGATAGGTAGATGTGTGCAGGTGTCTGTGTGGAAACCCACAGTTTCCGAAGTGCGGAGGGAATGTTACTGTAGTTATTAGTTTTCTGTTTGAGGTGTTTTATTGTATGTCCGTCAGTTTACACTGTAATGACGTTTGCAATCTCACGTTGTGCCGTGAATCGGTCTGTTTTAAAGTAAAAGATGGAAAGCACACGATTTCCAATAAACTATCAAGAACTGTTTAAATGGAGCAAATGCCACATTATCTAAATTTCATCCAAATAGAAAAGTAGTCCCACTTAAAATGACACGTTGCAGCTCAAAGAACACTTTTTAGTATAAACAAATTAATATTAGTGCTTTAACAAAAAATACAAATTGTACATTTCTGCTTTTAAACCCTCTAGTCAACGTGCGCCATAGACTATCATTACAAGCGCACACATTTATCCTTTAGACTAAGGGACAAGTGACGAGGGTTGCTAACAGTATGACACAGATGCCATTTATAGATCTTAAGTTGTTATTAAACCAAAATATTCTTCTAACTGGTGCTCCTCTACATGACCCACTAGAGAAAGCAATATTACTGTAGTCTGATTAAGCATACATCGCATGAGCAGCCAAATGATCAGTATAATCACATTCTATTAGATTACACTGCATTATAGGCCACACCACAATGTCACAGAATGGAAATGACAGTGCAAACACCATCCTGTCTGAAACGTTAAGCAGGGATGTTGATCTATTGGTCAGAGCGAATGTGTGTAGTACTCTCTCTAGAAAAGAAAATGTGCTCACTCCCATGTGATCTGATGTGATGAATGGAGGTCGTCTGACTGACACAGCCGATTACGTCCAGTAAAATTCACTGGGGATTGTTTCCAGGAAGTCTGCTGGGATTTCAAATCTAGGCTTCATTTGTTAGGCTTTTGTTAGCTACTTGACCATTGTGAAGATTATTTATCTGTCAGCACTGACCTCTAAAGACCATATATCTCAGTGCCCTTGAGATGGTTAACCTTGCAATAAATGGTAGATTATCTTTGAAGGACATGTGATCAAATCTAATGAAGTATCAACAACAGATTTCTAATGTGTGTGGTTATCGCATTGAGAGCAGATATTTCCCCTGACCTCTCTCTTTGTGCAGGTAACTTGGCTCACACTAAGGGCAAGGCTGCTGGCTCTGCTCGTATGGGCACACAACAATCACAGCGCACCATTAACTTTGCCAAGGTACGTTGTTTTGCCCACTTCTCCTCTCTGTACTACAGAGCTCCTAAGGGGACATGGTAATAGAAAAAAAATGAGACAGAAGAACATTATATTTTGTTATATTTCAGCGCAAAGCATTGCATTCTCCCGATAAAAATAATACAATTCACAAAATTTAGTGCTTTTGTGAGCGAATGCAAAGTTTCTCAGGGAATGCAATTGTTTTGCGAGAGCACGCACGCAAAGTTTCTCTGGGGAACGCAATAGTTTTGCAAGAAAATGAAAATGTTTTGTGAGTAAATGCAAAACTTCTCAGGAAAATGCAATAGTTTTGTGAGCGAGCGCAAAATTTCTCGGGGAAATGCAATAGTTTTAGAAGAGATTGCAAATGTTCTGGAGCAAATGCAAAGTTTCTTGAGCGAACACAATAGTTTGCAAGAGAATGCAAATGTATTGGTGCGAACGAAAAGTTTCTCTTAGGAACGCAATAGTTTTAGGAGAAAATGCAAATGTTTTGGAGCAAACACAAAGTTTCATAGGAAACGCAATAGTTTTAGGAGAAAATGCAAATGTTTTGGAGCAAACACAAAGTTTCATAGGAAACGCAATAGTTTTAGGAGTGAATGCAAAGGTTTTGGCGCAAATGCGAAGTTTCTCGACAGAACGCAAATGTTTTGTGAGCGAGCGCAACATTTCTCAGGGAAACGCAATAGTTTTAGAAGAGATCGCAAATGTTTTTGAGCAAATGCAAAGTTTCTTGAGGGAACACAATAGTTTGCGAGAGAATGCAAATGTTTTGTGAGTGAATGCAAAGTTTCTCAGGGAAACGCAATAGTTTTAGGAGAGAATGCAATGCATTGAAATATAATTTTTCCTCCCAACTCATACGTTTTTCCATCACCATGTCCTCTTAGCAGCTCTGAATTGTTCTGTTATTGTTACTGTACATTTAAGACTTCCAAATGTAAATGACTTCTGTTATGATTGGCTAACCTCACTGCATGTGAAATTAGCAACAAGAAGTTGCTGAAGTTGCTAGGTGTTGATGTATAAATGTAGGCATTCATAAGTTAGTTAGGCTTATGGTTATGAGTTTTTCTTTGATAGGAGCATCAGTACTTTCACTTTTTGGAATTAACTAAATTTCTTTCTTTTTATCTCTCCATCTCTCCACACTCCATACCCATCATTGACTTTTCCATTCCTCCTTCCTATAATGTCTTCTGTCTAAAGTTGGAAGGTCTTATGTTGTTCAGTACTGTATCATTCACTGAGGTAATGATCCTGTAGTATTTGTGCTGTACATTAGAGACATGCTCATAGAGGATAGGCGCCTTTTGCGAGCCAACACTGTGCTCACATTTTCAGTGTATGTCTGCCTATATGTGGGTCTTTCTCAGAAAAAGGTGCTTTTTATCATTTCATTCGAAAAAGTTACCTCTGAACTTTCAAGAAATATTTTTTATTACCTCAGGCCCAAAGTACCAGGACCAGACCAATGTACTGATAACCATTTGTAGTAATACATGTGGTACACCTGAATTATATAGAGGGTGATATATAGAGGGTGCACAAGCTGCAAAAAGTTGTAACTTGCTACTGTTACTTTAAAGAGATATTTCTATCTGTACACAAAGACAAAGCAAGCACCATCAGGGCAACACACATGACACTAAAGTAATGCAATAAACAGCAACTAAATAACCGAAAGTGTAACACAAAACACCTCATGTACATTACTGATAACAAAAATGAGAAGAAACGGAACTATTATGGGTGATTCTGTAAAAGATACTGAAAATATATTGAAATGTTGTGTTTGATGAGGTCAATAAACAATGAAATACTGATAAAGACTGAAAGACAAATTCACAGTTTGGTCAAAAAGAAATTAAAAGGGCTTATGTCAGCATACCTAAATGTGCATATTTTGAAACATATTTTAATGACTTATTTTATGAAAATCAAACAATTATCTAGTAAAATTTAGTTTTGTTCAGTCAGTTAGATCTATCAAATAGGCTAATGCAGCAAAGGTCTGTTAATTGCATCAGTAATCATGGAGAGATACGCTTGGCACCATTTCCTGAAAATGACCTATGTTTGTGCGAATGAAAGACTATCTTCTCATGTGACCCTACCAGCTGTCTAATGGCTAATGCTTGTGTAGACTGACTGATTTACAGCTTGATTAGTTCATATAATACACATTAGAATTGAGTGTCCCTGTGGAATTAAGGAGAATTGCCTTCATGTGTTTATGTGCAGTTGCATTTCCAAGTTGTTGTTTTTTTTGCATTAAGTTTATTTTTCCTAATGGAATTATTAAGAGAACACATGAGCTACTTAGAGCTCACATTCAGTTTGCACTCTGAAATGAGTGAGGGTTTTCAACATATTGAACTGATGTCTTTGATGAAGACCTGCATACATTATCATTCGTTTGCATATTTAAGCATGCTGTCTTTAGAAAATTTCACATGAAAGATTCCATTCATTTTAGCCCACGTAAAATAAAAGCACCTGTGTCAGTGTGATTCTGCTTTATGTTCAATGTTGAAACACCTTGATTATATAACCTGGTGAAATATTCATGGCTGTTTTAAAGAAGGAATTTGGCCCTATTGATGATTGGCAAAAGTGCCACATAAATTAATGCTTGTTAGATTGCTTTGCTAATAAATCCTGCAGTTAATTTCATCTATATTATTCCTTTACAAATTAAAAATAAATAGTTTTTATGCATTCAAATCAGACTGTCTTATCACAATCTTTATGCATTTCTTTTTCAGTCTTCCTCCCGGAAATTAACTCCCACCCATGACAAATCAATGCTTGCCTTGCCCGTTGACACTGTACAAACGGTGATTGTGTGTTTACCCTGACCTTTGGCTTTGTTATAAAACTTTTCTCCAAGAGGCAACATGCATACATTTATTATAAACAGATAATTTTATGTTTATAAAAAAGACCCCAATATCCCTTCTGTCAATTTTTATGACCACAAGTTTTCAGCATGCTGAATGTTTTGTGTTTGCAAAGGCGGAGAGCACGGGAGACACCACACATCACCCCAGAGAGACCACCAACATGAAGACTCAAACTGTAGCCTCTTACTTCAGAGTAAGACTTTTGAAGACATAATAATGAAAAGAACCAATAAAAACCATCAGTCTCATGTTCACAGTCTTGCTTTATTTTCAACTATACTTTGCAGTATTCTCTAATGGATCTGTTATCAAAGATGGTGGCAGGCCAGCCTCAATTTGTGCGTTGCATAAAACCCAACAATGATCGTCAAGCCTACAAGTTCGACAGGGAGAAGGTTCTGATTCAACTACGCTACACTGGTATTCTAGAGACAGCTAAGATACGCAGACAGGGCTACTCTCATCGCATTCTCTTCAATAACTTCATTGAGAGGTTGGAGAGATACTACGTATTACTGTAAATCCATGTGCATGAACCCCTTTTCCACCTAAATGGTGTTTATATTAGTGCTGGAGCCAATACTCTGCCAAGGGACCTGTCTCATAACTGGCCTGTTTTTCAAATGATTTGAGAAATGGTCTTTGGTCTTAGTTTTGAAAACGTATATTAGCATCCAAAGTAACAGCCATCAAAAACTGGCAAGAACCACATTTTTGTCTGTGGAAATGCATAGAATGTACCACCACTTCCGATACCGGCACTCGTACATTGCTGGTGGAAAAGAGATTGCCTCCTTAGTCTATAATTTCTCAGTTGTTATGTTTAGTGTTGCCTTTTACTAACCATTGGTCTATTTCAGGTACTCTATATTAGCATTTAGAGCCAATGAGGAGCCACCAATGAATCCAGAGACATGTGCTGTTATTTTGGAGAAGGTCAAACTAGAGAACTGGGTTCTGGGCAAAACAAAGGTTTGTGAATGAAAGGCATTAATAACCGCTGTTGTTGTTCAGCAAACTTCATAAGTCTGATGGTTATGTGTTCAGGTCTTTCTTAAGTACTATCATGCAGAGCAGCTGAATCTGATGGTGAGGCAGACCACAGACCGGATTGTTCTAGTCCAAGCATATGTACGAGGCTGGCTGGCATTCAGACGATACCGTTTGATGCTGGAAAAGAGAGAACAAAGTGCTGTGGTGTTGCAGTCAGGTAAGCTCATGCTGTTGACTAGATGTCAAAATTACATTTTAAGTGATGTATCGGTACTTTTACTCCGCTATTTTCCTCTGTTTGTGGTCGTTACATGCTTATTTTAATTTTATTTTTATCCATCAACGTGATTGGATAGAGTAATAGGTCTCGTGACTTTCGTCAAATCGGTCTAGCGTGAGGGGAAGCCCCGGCTTAGCGTGCGCTGAGGCCGAGATAGAGTGAGCTAAGGCCGGGCTAGCGTGAGCGGAAGCCCCGACTTAGCGTGCGCTGAGGCCAGGATAGAGTGAGCTGAGGCCGGGATAGATTGAGCTGAGGCCAGAACCAATCTGCACCTTATTGATGACCCGTGGCTTTAATATACTGCATCTGTGCCAACGCGTGACGTAATAAAACTGCAGCTCGTTAATAAACGGGGTTTTTTTTTAATCCATTTTATACAATCCGCCTTCAATTAGCAAGTGCAAAGGTATGGCATGAATTTGCCATCCTTCTAGAACAATGTGCATTTTTGTTAAAATTGTAACATAAATTATCAAGTTTAGTTATTTTTTATTTCTTTATTGCAAAATGATAAAACTGGCACCACACACTACATTTTTTGGAAGGTAATGGTACTTTTACTTGAGTATATTTTTCAGTACTCTTTCCACCACTGGAGGATACTGTATTAAGTGAGTTTAGAAGGCAAAGACTTACACTAAATCATGGCCTCTTCATACAGTGTGCAGAGGATACCTGGCAAGGCAGAAATACAAGGAGTTACTAGATGAGAAGATCAAAGCTGCTGCAAAGATCCAGGCCCATTACAGGGGACACAAAGAGAGGAAAAGCTTCAAGAGGAAAAAGTAAGTCCTGTTCTTCTTCTAGATGATTTTATCTTCTTACTTGTAGATTTTAGACTGTTTAGAAATAAAATCCATCATTTTCAATCAAAGGTCCATCAATTAGAGGCCATTTTAAATTCTCCGTCATCAAGCACTTTGTCCTACTGGTTCCTTGTTCTTCCAAGCGTTGTCTTCATTTTCTTGGTTTAAATCTAGCTATCTAACAAAAGTATATGCTGACCATAACATTAATACTAAAGTCCTGCAAGACCATTTTTTCCAAATTCGCAAGATTAGTTACAACAGCTATTCCAACTTGTGTTGGTATGAAAAGGGAGAAGGTGTAAAGTGATACGAGAGACACCAGTAACACTGGGATATTGAACAACCTTGAAGGGTCATGAAGGTCATTGGTTTAAGTCCTGGCTGAGTTAGTGTAGCTTGCACGTTCTGCCTCGCATCCTGGGGTGCTCTGGTTTCCCCGACAATCCATGCAATGCATGCGGGATAGGTGAATTGGAGACATTACATTTTCCATAGGTGTGAAGGTGTATCCATCTGCATGTAGTGGACTAGCCACCCAACCAGGGTGTTTCCCTGGGATGATCTCCAGCATCCCAGCAACCGTATATTTGACAAGTGGTTTGGAAGGTGGATGGATGAATATACTGAAATCTTAGAGTGCTTAATGCTGCAATTGACCAGTCAGAGCAAGGTACACATAGAATCAAGAAGTCAACAGTGCTATGGTGGTATAAACTGAATAATTTTACACAGGGAAGCCATGCAGAAGGAAAAAGCTGAGAAGACGGAAGAAGTGGTGGAGGCCCCATCAGAATCAGAAGGTCCAGTTTCAGAGGAACCTCCACAGGAAGGAGGTGAAGTGGTAATGGATGATGCTGATGAAAAGGCCGCTGTGGTCCTCCAGAGCAACTACCGAGGTTACAGAGAAAGGAAGATATACAAGGAGCGTCGGGAATGGAATAAGACCTTGACCGGGGAAGAGCTGGCCGTTTCCTCATCCACCCCTGAAGAAGCCACTTCTGGAGAAAATTTGGATGTTATACAAGAGGAAGTACAGGAGAATATAGAGGAAGAAGGGAAGGAGGCTGAGGAAGAGGCGGCGAGTGGAGGAGATGAGAACAATGAACAGGAAACCAAGGCAGCCACTGTTATCCAGAGCAACTTCAGAGGTCATAAAGAACGTAAAAGACTCCAAGAGGAGGGGAAGATGCCGGTTAGAGGGAAGGAGACAAAGAGTCTTCCAGTTGATGAGGAGCTTCCTATTCCAGATCCACCACCTCCAGAAGAACTGATGGAATTCACTGAGGAAATGGAACAGGAAGATGAGACCCCAGCTCAACCACCAGGAGAAGATGAAGAAGCCAAAGCTGCTGTGGTTCTTCAGAGCAACTTCCGTGGCCACAAAGAGCGTAGAAGACTCCAGGAGGAAGGCAAAGTCCCCAAGAAAAAGACAAATGAAGATATGGTTAATCCAGATGCTTCAGAACTAGACATTTCTCTTGAGGAACTTCCACCACCTCCATTAGAATTCGAGCAAGACAGTCAGTCTCCAGGGACAGATGAAGAACATGCTGCAACTGTTTTACAGAGCAATTTCAGAGGACACCAGGAGAGAAAGCGATTGAGAGCAGAGAGAGAAGGAGCCATTGGGAAAGAACAAGAAATGGCACAAGAGGCGGAGGAGCAGGAGAACGAGGAAGCTCTGGACATCACAGATGTTCAGCTGGAACAGAAGGGGGTAGAAGAAGAGGAGGATTCTCGGGCTGAGGAAGCCCAATATGATGAGGAGCAGGCAGCCATTAAAATGCAGAGCAATTTTAGAGGTTACAAAGACAGAAAGAACCTGAAAGCTACATCACAAAAACAGGATGAGGAAGTGGAGTCGCTCTTCAAACAGGTGATTCCTTTTTTTTTTTTTTATGTAGGTTTACCCACAAATGACAAATCTGTCATCATTTAATCACCCGGATTATCAATCCAAGCCTGTATTTCTTCTGTGGAACATAAAAGGTGAAATTTAGATTCTACAAAAATGAAAAAGAGTTGTATTGGTTGGCTACTTTTGTGATGCTTTTTTTGTAATTTTCTTTGTACTGTATGGAACAGAGCAGCATGAACATTCTGCCAAATTCTGAGTGTAAATGATGACCTTTTATTTTTCAATGGACTAATCTGTCAAAGAGTAGCATCATAGCATGAGACTTGATTTAAAGGGGTCCTATTATGCTTTTTCACTTTTTCAACTTAGTCACTTGTTTCAAGTTAGTCTGTAGTGTTGCTGTTTGAGCATAAAAAGATCTGTGAAGTTACAAAGCTCAAAGTCTAATTCAAAAGGAGATTTTAACACAAATCACTTTTCAAAATCTACAACGAACGACTCGTTTGGACTACAACGCATATTTTTCGGGATTTGTGATATCACAAATACCGACGAATGGGACGAGACCTGGTTGAGCTGCATTAGAGAAGGCAGTGAGTGTTATCACTAAGAAGGAAACACGCTAGCTTTCCAAAGGCAGACAAACTTAGAGTGGTTACAATCATCCGGGTTTAAATGGCGCTCAAATTGATTTGATTTTGACGCAATATTTACACTGAAGCTCGCAGGCGGCTATGGTAAGGGGCATGACATTTCCCCGACCAGGCGCCGAGTGCTGCCAGTCACAACACACACTGACCCAGCTAACCAATCGCAGCACATTTTGTATTTCAGAAGGCGGGCCTTCATTTGATACAGGAACTATTTGAGCCGTTCATGCCAGACTGGGGAGTGAGGTGTTGTAATAATGTAAAATATGTGAAAAATAATGTGTTTTTCGAACAACCTAGTATGAGAGCCTGTTCTAGTACACCCCCAAAACAAAATCAAGACTTTGTAAAAGAGCATAATAGGACCCCTTTAAGATATGCATTCTTTGCCTCATGAATTTTAAGGTTTTTACACAAAATTCAGTTGATGACATTTTTTATAACCTGCTCAGGTAACCAATGCCTCTGAAGATTACTTATCACTGCAGAAGAAGTTAAATGAAATCATCCTTGCCCATCAGCTCAACCCCAGCAAAAATGGAATGTTTGTGAAAGGACAACCTATGAATGGCTACATGGGCTGTTACCAGCCACCAGGTAAATGTCCTTTATGAATTATGTCCATTCATGTCTGAAGTCTTTGTCATTTCAATCGTTCTCCCCCCATGTTTGTTGACACTTCAGTATGCTTTTAAAAAGTGCACTTTGAAATGTCAAATTAAACGTTTTACTTTAAAGTACATTTTAAATCATTGTTTTAATAATCCTTTGTCATGCTTTTAAGAAGCACACTTATTTTGATGTCCTGACTAAGCACATGTGAAGTACTTGAATTATCATTTTAACTGTAATGAGTTATTTAGTATTATAGTCAGTTGGACTTTTTTTTTGCTGTATGCTAAAGGGTAGCTTTGGTTATTTTCAAAGTTGGATTAATATAGCTGTTTTTAAGATTGAAATAGCTTGTAGTAAGAAAACTCTACCTTATTTAAACTCCTACAGTATACTTTTTTGCTGTCAATTTGACAGTACTGATCTTATCAAAAATTGGATGTCTAGTGCCACAACATGCAAATTGGGCTCAACAAGATGTGTCATCATAAAAATTCCCCCAGCTGAGCAGATCTGCTGTTCATTTGATTTTTGTTGCGATATGTCTAATTACTTTTGGGAGGGTAATTCTCGCAGATTCTATTATTCCTGATATGCACCTTGTGTCTAAATGAAACCAGATTATTCTGTCAGCAGTGATTATGGTTTCCGTGTTGACAGATATGACCTCCTGATCTGTTTTCTTCTGTCACATAGTCTTAATCTCATCTGTGAAAGCTGAACTTCTACAAAATCTTGCTAAAGGGATTACATTTGCTGTCATCTGTCACATGTTTATTAATGATTTATTGTCATTGTAAAATGTCTTTGGAAGCTCCAAAGTCATAATAAATAACCTTAACCAGAGTCTTTCTGTGTGGAAACAATTATTATTGTGCAATTATTATTGTTTCCACATACAATAAGTGGCCTTTGAATGCCAGTCACATTTCTATGTACATGAAAGGTCTTTAAATGCTAATCGCATTGCATGCAAAAGTGCCCCAGCAATTACAGCAAACATTAATATAAGAGCTGCAAATTGGCTTTTTACCTCTGAGCAATCAAGAATTGCTGATGACCTTTCAAGAGACACATTCAATAAATATGACCAACTCTCCAGCCGTACCCGCTGGTCCTGGTGGACAGTGATTCATTTTCTTTACACTGGACCTTTCTACATGATAAACAGTGCTTGAGTTAGCAGATATTATTCAAATAAACCAAAGGTCATTTTTGTACCTTTTGGTGTTGATCACTAAGAAAAATCATATTTGACAAAGAAGTATTCTGTATCAAAGGCATTCCAGGTAACACTCTTTTTTGAGCATTACACTTTTTTGAGGTTGCACTTAAAAATAAAAAATAAATACTTGTATTTAAAGTGTACTTATTAAGAAAGTACTGGTAACATAAGGTAACTATAGGTTAAGTTTAGTTTTAGTGGTAGCTTAAGGGTTAGTACCTACTTAATATTACCCAGTTTTTGTAATTATTATAATAAGTATATAGTATGTGCATGTGAAACAGGACTAAAATGGTGCTACCAATTCTTTTTAGACATCATAGGTGCATATAAAAATATGTAGGCCTAAATTTAAGATTTATGTATTTTATGTATTCACTTATCCATATTTTAACCTCATCTCCTACCTCATTTCCATTGTGAAAACAATTAAATGTATTCAGTTAATAAGTATTAACTGAATATATTGAATTGTTTTCTCAATGTAAATATGTGTGCTGATTTTAAGTAATTTGATTCAATGCATTCTGAAAATATTATTTATGAATTATGATTTAATGAAAATCAAATATATACAAATAGATAATAATAAACCATGAATTTTTTTAAGTACAGAAATTTTACCTGTTTTTATATGACTGACAAAAATTAGTCTCATTAAGTTTATTAGTTTGTTTATTTTTAAATCTGTAATCCAAATGGATGGAAATTTTATATGCAATTCAAATACATATCATATTACAAAAATTTGATCTGAATATTTTTTTGAGTTGATGGTGGACGAAGGAAGATAAATGAGAGTAATTATAAATGTATTTCCTTTAGTAATGAGACTTTAGTAATAAGACAATTCCATAGGCCCGACGAGGGAGAAGGGGCCCGGAACACAATTTTTACTGAGGGTATATGCTGTTCAGGGGGCCCAGAAACCATAGCGGCGCCCCTGCTAGGGTTTAGAACAGAGCTTCATTCTCATTCTTACTTTTTCATGTCTGTGTCAGTATAGGAACATGCTTTGACTAGTAGGGCATTTCTGATTGGTTGTTAGTGGATAATTACAAATGGCGAGGCCCAAGGGTTAAACCATGCCGTATGGTTTGTTCGATAAGAACAAAGGGGTCAAAGGTCAGCTGGATGTTGTGTAGCTGATCCTGTGTAGCAACGGGGCTCCCCACCAGGGATCTATTTGTTATATTCTCTTTGCATAAGAACACATCTTGAACGGGTTTAAAAGTATTGAATTCAAGGTCAAATATCACGATGCACTGTTTATATGTTGATTGGTTTTTCCTGTTGTTTTTCACCTTTTATTTTTCTGATCCACAGCCGACACAAAGCAGTCACGAACGTCTCGCCGCACACAACAGCCAAAGACCCTGAACACACCAGAGGACGCCACATACTACACACTCATTCACGTGAGTCAGCATCACACAATGACACTCACTTTATCTAAGGATTTTCTGGACTTCAGCTTTAATGATCTTTCTCATGCCGGGTCTTTTCCAGAGGTCTGTCCAGGAAGATAAAAGGAGGCCAAGAAAACAAAGGTAAATCAATTAGAAGACATGTTATACTAAACAAAAATGTGCCCTCTCCTGTAGCTGCTTTGCAGACAGAATGACAAAAGCTGTGTTTGGAATGGAATACTAGTGTACCACATATTGCATATGACACACTAGTATTTGAAAACAGTATGTGGTTTGCTATGAAATCGTACCCTATTTATTTCACAGGTTATGTATTGTCTCAAAAATGCAACCGTTCAACCTTACACTTTCGTATGCTCACCAAGGCTGCATGAATTTGATTAAAACAGTTATATTCCAAAATATTATTACAGCTTACAATTTTCTATTGTAATATTTTTTAAAAAGTAAATTATTCTTGTGATGGCAAAGCTTAATTTTCAGCATCATTACTCCAGTCTTCAGTGTCACATGATTATTCTAATATGTGACCCTGGAGCACAAAACCAGTCTTAAGTCGCTGGGGTATATTTGTAGCAATAGCCAAAAATACATTGTATGGGTCAAAATTATTGATTTTTCTTTTATGCCAAAAATCATTAGGATATTAAGTAAAGATCATGTTCCATGAAGATATTTTGTAAATTTCCTACTGTAAATATATATCAGAACTTAATTTTTGATTAGTAATATGCATTGCTAAGAACTTCATTTGGACAACTTTAAAGGTGATTTTCTCAATATTTTGATTTTTTTGCACCCTCAGATTCCAGATTTTCAAATAGTTGTATCTCGGCCAAATATTGTTATATCCTAACAAACCATGCATCAATGGAAAGCGTATTTATTCAGCTTTCAGATGATGTATAGATCTCAATTTTGGTTTTGTGGTCCAGGGTCACATATGCTGATTTGGTGCTCAAGAAGCATTTCTTAATATAGTAATTGTACTGCTTAATATTTTTTGTGGAAACCGTGATGCAATATTTCAGGACATTTTGATGATTAGAAATTTCAAAAGAACAGTATTTTTTAAAATATATTTTTTGCAACAATGTAAAAGTATTCGCTCTCATTTTTGATCAGTTTAATGCATCCTTGCTAAAGAAGTTTTAATTTCTTAAAAAATAAAATAAAATAAGAAATCTGACCCCAAAATTTTGAATGATATAGTGTAAACTTTGCATTTCACATTTTATTTTTGTACTGTTACATTTATTTTTGTATAATCCATTAATCCATTGTCTTTATTTTGGTGGGTCTGAACTGATAAAGAGGCAAAAGAGAGATGTTAACAATCAAATCAAACACAGGTCTTGCATAGTTATCAAGCTATGCATAGTGAGATAAGATATTCTATGTTGTGTACAAATTAGAAATGTAATATGTCTTCATGGGTATGAACATTTGCATACTTGCACAGTACAAAAACCTTAAAAAATAATACAGGTGGTATTACACTATTCTGCTCCTAACATAGCCCATACAAATCTGCCAACATTGGATATAAAGTTAAATCCTAACACACACATGAATTGTGTCATATGATGCTGCTAAAAAGAACATTATTTTGTGTATTTGGTGTAATGAAATGTGTTTATGCGGTTTAAGGTAAAAAAAAAACACATTATTTTCCA